TAGAGGCAGCTCATTCGTCAGCTTTGACTACTAGGGTAAAGCAGATTCTCAGGAGGCTACCTGACCTACACACGTGGAAAGAGCTGCTTGTGTTGTTATGAGTCTGGGGTTATGTGTGAGAGTCCTGAGTTCCTGGGTCAATTTGCTGTTGAAACTGCAAAACAGGCATGATCCTAGCCAAACCCTTTCTTGCACTTTAGCCCTGCATCACAATGTTGGGATCATATAAGAAATCACATGTCAGAATACCATTGTACCTAGCACACTGAAATTGAGTAGCAAATTTATTATTTTTACTGTCATGGCCATCATAATCAATATCATACTTGCAGCTAGTCCAACAAACACCCCGCCTGATTAAAATAAAGTCTTTCTACCCTGGAGTTCCAAAGTCCTAGGAAGAAAAACAAAGAATCAACATAAATGTCCATCAATAAATGAATAGATTTTTAAAATGCAGAATATATACACTAATTACTATTCAGGCATAAAAATAAAATCTTGTCAATTATAACAACATGGATGGAACTGGAATACACAATGTTAAATGAAATTATCAGGCACAAAAAGACAAGTATTACATGGTCTCACTCACATATGGAATTAGAAAGCTTATCCCACAAAAGTTGAGAGTACTATAGTGGTTACAAGATGCTGTAGAAACTGAGGATGAAAAGAAATGTACTCATTACCTGACTCATGCAACTGTAACCCCTCTACATATCCCCTCTATAATAACAATATATACACACACAGACACACAGACACACACACACACACACACATACTGAGAGATGGGACAAGGTTGGTCAATGAGCACAAAGTTATAGTTAGTGGAAGTAAGTTCTGGTGTCCTATAGCACAGTACGACTGACTGCAGATAACGTATCACAAAAACATTAAAAGAAAGGATTTTAAGTGATTCACCAAAAAGAAATGACAAATGTCTAAAAAGATGGACTTACTTACCCTGATTTGAACACTATTCATTGGACACATGTGCATCACAGTGAGAAATTACATGCCAATTTTTAAAAAGACACTGAGAAGCCAGGTACTGATGGCTGAGATCTGAGGATCAAGGTTCAAAGCCAGCCTGGGCAAGGAAGTCTGTGAGATTCTTATCGCCAATAAACCACCAGAAAACTGGAAGTGGTGCTGTGGCTCAAGTGGTAGAGCGCTGGCCTTGAGCTGAAGAGCTAAGGGACAGCACCCAAGCCCAGAGTTCAAGCCCCACAACTGACAAAAAACAAACAAACAAAAAAAAACACTGAGAAATACCAAATTAAATACTAATTTTGCCATACATTTTTGAGAGGCTTTATTGTTTCGATATAATTGGGAGCAAGAGAAATTCATTGAATTTATAACTAGCTCTGATTTGATTTCTTACTAATTGTTATGTACACTTGGAAATTCTTGTGAAGAGGAAGTTATTTTACACCAAGTTATCTGGAAACAATGAGAATTTTCTTGAATATGTAAATACTTTCTCAACTGACTAATTATGTTTTATATAAAAATCTGCTTTCCAAGAAGCCCTTTGCTAAGTTACCCCTGGTGGCAGGGCTTTCTTACTACAGAGAATTTCTCCTGGTTCTTTTTCAGCATTCAAGCTCACTTTCATAGGACAGTGATTCCTAGATCCTTCCAGAGGCCCACAGATTATTTGCATTATATTTATTTAAATTATTTTCATATTAAAATTATTTTCATAATTTTAAAATGCTATTTGTTTTGCTTTTACTATATTGAATATTTGACTGATGGCACAAAAGCAATTGTGGAAAAACTGCTGGTGCCTTAGCATAAATCACAGCAATGGTAAGTCACCATATCCTTTGCCATGCACTCAAATCAAACAGTTTAAGAGTCTTTGATGAACCACCACAATTTATTATTAAATTTACTAAAGCTTAATCATTACAGGTATTTTACCATTGTGAAATGAAAGGGTAAGTATGAATAAATCACTGCTGCTGCGTATCAAAGAATGTCAGTTCTCAGCGAAGAGACTGTGTAACTTCTGGAGCTGCAGGCTGAACTACCAGCTTGTTCATGGAGTATACTCTGAATGTGAAGGATGACTAAGAGGCTTTCTGAGACTTGGCCATCTGTTTAAAATGAACAAAGTCTAAATTTAAAGAACCATTATTATTTGTTGCTATTAAGAAAAATGTGAGCCAGACATTGGTGGCTCATGCTTTAATCCTTACTACTCAGGAAGCTGAGATCTGAAGATCAAGGTTCAAAGCCTGCTCCAGCAGGGAAGTCCATGAGACTCTTATCTCCAATATACCACTCAGAAAACCAGAAGTGACACTGTGGCTCAACTGGTAGAGTGCTCACCTTGAGCTGAAGAGCTGAGGGATCGTTCTCAGGCCCAGAGTTCAAGCCCCACAACTGACAAAAAGAAAAGAGGTGAATTTTGAATTTGTGCTCAAACTTTTATATTTGAGAATTTACATGATTTTTCTGATGAAATCAGTGATAATAATTATTTGTAGTTTTGTAAGGCCTTCTTTTTTACTTTCCTATTAATCTAGCATTTTAATGTGCAACTGTTTTCCATTATGACAACAATGGCTCCCATCTGTAATCTTAGCTATTTAAGAGGCAGAGACTGTGGCTCCAAAGCAAAGAATGGCAAACGGTAAACCAAATCAGCCTCCTATTCGGGCCTGTTTCTGGACTGAAGCCATTCCCATTCATTTCTGTACTGTCTACAGAGGCTTCTGCACTACAACAACAGAGATACTAGTCTTATAAAACCACAGAGCCAACAAATATTTGAAAACATTTGCTAGGTAGACCTTCACAGAAAAGCTTGGCCAATCTCTGCTTAAGAGATTATGTCTTCCCAGAGTTCAAGCCCCATGACTGACAAAAAAAAAAAAAAAGAAATTAGATCTTTAAAAAATAATGATTACATTTCTTTTAAAATTATATGAAGTATATATTTAATACCAAAATATACTTATTATATATATATATATATACCATATAAAAAGCTCTACAGCTAAAACACATAGAAGTCTTCAACATGAATATTGACAACATATAATTTTATTTTGGCTTTTATCCAGCCTGTCCACCAAAAATATACTCCATCACCACCAAAAATATACTCCAAATCAGGATAGGCAAAATTAAACCATTCAAAAGACACTCACTAAAAAGACTTATGGGTGACTTTTGCAGCTAGCTGTGAAGGACTAACTGGTAAAGATATAAATCTTTGACCTTCAGTGACTAGAAAGCTGACAAAGTATGTAATACCAAAGCATTTGGAAGCAGGACAAGAGGCAGACCAGTGCTGCCTTTAATTACAGCAGGGAGAGAACTGGGAGAGTCCTGAAGATGCCCACGCCCTAGTTCCGGGGAAGGAATTCATGCCCAATGCGTGAGTCTGGAAGGGTGAGGAGATTCAGACTGGCATTTGAGGAGACTCAAACCATAGGAAGCAGCAGGAGTTTGAAAGATAGAGCAGTGGGAAGAGCTATGCAGATTAAGAGCTCCAGGAATTTGTACTAGGATCCCCTAGTGTCTGCTGCTGACCCTGAGAACCTTCTGCTGGAAGCCAAAAGGTGAATAATTCCTAGAATTCACACAGAACTTGGGGACATTTAAATCCCATCTAGACAGAGCAAAGCTATGTCACTGGATCCTCAAAGACACAGAAGGGTCTCAGAATGCTTTGTAACAGATAATTTAGCACTCCTAAGCCCACCCTAAAGCTTAAAAACATCCAGGAAAGGATCAGTCCAACCCAGATTACTTCAGTATCCACCAAAACAAACTTCAACACTTCTTAAAGGAAGGCAAACAAATGTATACTTTCAACATCATAACATGGGGGTGGGTGGAAGTGTCTCAACTAATGTCCTTGGGAAGAAGTGATGACAGAATTATCAGATGAAGATAATAAAACAGCTTTTATAAACATGTTTTATATATTCCAGAATATAGAGGAAAACATGAATGTGTTAAAGAAAGAAGTGGAAAATAGGAACCAAAAATTCTATTTAATTTTGTTACATCAGTCTTCAACAACTAAAAAAACAAAGTATCAGAACTTTAAAACTCACTGGAGAGAATTAACAGCAGATTAAGACACAGAAGATGAACTTGCAGACACAGTAATTCAAACTCTTCAAATTGAAGCCACAGAATAAAAAGATTAAAAAAATAAATCAAATGAGCGCCAGTCATTTCATGAACAATATAAATTACAAGTACATAAATCTAAACCATTCAAGAAACAGCATACCAGATACGAAAAATCATACCAAGACACACCAGACATTGCTCAAAACCAGTGTCATACACACATACACACACACACATACACAGAGAGAGAGAGAGAGAGAGAGAGAGAGAGAGAGAAGATTGTATCAGCACCTAGGTTCCATAGAAAATACAAAATAAAAACAACTGTATCCAAAAGAAGAAAGTATCATTTTCCTAGATCTGCTTGACAAAAATGAAGGTAAGGGGTCTTCAAAGTTGAATTCTTACTTTTGTAGGTCTTCCTTTGCTGGTATCCCTGGAATAAGCTTAGTTTAATGGGTAATCAAGCATGAACAAAGTATAGTTAAACTGGAAAACAACAGTATGATAATGTAGTTATATACTTTATAGTTCAGATATATCACATACTTTAGAACACATGCTTCTTGAGTGTCGGAATCAACATGTTTGTCCATAAATTTCTGGAGCAGTTCCTAGTGGAACACAACCAGTAAATACACACAGAATTAAGTCAATCTCATTTTGCCCTCAGCACATTGCTATGTGATAAGTAGAATAAGGTGAGAAAACAGATAGTTGATGGGGTTAGATGATTGATCCAAGAACACGCAAAAGCAGTCCCAGAGTAATACCACCACATGGTATTACCACAAAGCAGATACACACACACACACACACACACACACACACACACACACACACACACACACAAACTCCCATGCATATGCACAGTTTTAAATATTACTTACTCTGAGTCTCCACAAGATCCAAAGCAACACTAGAAACTGTGTCCATTCCAGAGCTGATACAGGACTGGAAGTTTTTTAGGGAAGAGAGAGCAGACTCTATACCACTGAAGGAGATGAAACCAGTTGATCCTGAATTTGCACTGGAACGCCCTGGCATCTTGAAATTGCCTAAAATTTCAAATATAGTAACAAGCATTGTGTGTCAGAATTACTGAATAGGAAATTAGCAAAGCTGGAAACATTCATATGACAATATTCATCATCTATATGCCACCCTTCAGTATCACTTGAGAGGACACCAAAGCATTATGCCATTATCTGGGCCACAAAATGCAGATGTACTTAATCTTCATTTTTATAAAGGAGAGAGAATGCCCTTCTCTGAAAGATTCCTTGATGTCTACACATAAATGGGCCAAAAGAATTAGACTCATGATGCATTTTCCTTTAAAAAAAACAACAATAAAAGCTTAATAAGGTAAGGTTTCAAAATTTTGTAATTTTAACTTATCTGATAGGTATGCATTTTGAATTCTAAAAACAACAACAACAACAAAAGTTTCTGATAGGTTTAGAAACTGTGAAATCTCAAATTCAGGAAAAGCAGAATTTTGTTAGCTCATCCATTATAACCATTTCAATTAACACCTTCATATTCAACACTCCCTGATCTATAATGTCAACTAACAACTCTCTAAGCTTTAAACCATTATGTAAAGTTGCCTATGAAGAAGCAGCTTAATTCAGAAACCATTTGAAATTCAGTTCACTGAAACCAACTAGAAAAGTAGAGGGAATTCACACAAGCTAAACGCATGGAAGGGCAGATCCTAAGGCAGCATGGGAACCAAGAAAGGAAGTCATTTTCTTGGAATCAGATAGACAAAGTATGAATTCAGGTTCACTGTCCCTTAATCACTATGTGACCACAGGCAGATTGTTGAGTCTCTCTCTGCTCCTCTCTGAAGTGGAACAGGAAGGAATAGTCATGACATCCATGTCTTGAAGCTGTGTAGCAGATATGACAGGGCCTCCTTTCCTGCACTACCAGCTTATCTTACACCATGACCTTAGTAGTCCCTCAGTTATGCCTTCTGAATTAATCATTTCTTCCACAAATAAGTACTGAAGGCCTTACCAGGTCAAACCTTACTCACTCAGAAACACAGAATAGAAAAAGAGAAGAGAGGACACAGAAGCCATAGATGCTGATTTTTATTCCTGACATGTCAATTCATTGCAAATATTTAACATTATCATTCATTGCTCATTCAAATAATTCAGGTAACAAGTATGCAGTAAGTACCAAGCACTGCTCTGAGCATGGGTATGCAATGCAGTGGTTTACAAGATAAGCTCTCAAGATTTTCATTTTCAAGCACTGTTTTCTTTGCTCTAATTTGATACAAGTCTGCCTTGTGCCAGGCAGTATCCTAGGCACTAGGAATATTCAATTTCTGCTCCTCTGGGGATCATCAGTAGAGTAGGGGAGACAGATGTGCGTGTGTGTGTGTGTGTGTGTGTGTGTGTAAAACAACAGCGAAGTTATTGCAAAGTGGAGGCACAACCAAGAAAATGTTTGGTTTTGTCTTAGAAAATGATTGAACAAGGATACATTTAATGGGGAGGGGCATCAAACCACAGTAAAGGCATGTAGAAATGGAGACATAAAATTACGTAGAGTACACAACTCCCTAGACAGCTTATTTAAAAAATGTTATTTGATGACTCTTCTCTACAAATCTCCACCAACTCCTCCTCCATTAGCACCGAGCTCAAGACCTCATTTGCCATTTCACTGATGAAACAGAAGCAAAGACTTCCCTCCTCACCTACCAGCCTCAATTTCCACATATGCTGCCTCTCTCCCTGTTGTTACATCAACTGTCCCTGCTTGTAAGGCCACCTCCACATACCCACCAGATGCTCTTCCTCCATTCCTTCTCTGGGACATTCCCCCAGTAATTCTCCATGATTTCATGCACAGTCATTTTTCCCACTCTGCCATTCTCTACAAGGAACAAATGGACGGTTACTTCTTCCATCTAAAAACATCCTCCCACCTTCCCTTCTGGTTACCATCTCTATTTTTATGCTCACCCTCACACATAACTCCCTACACTTATCTTATTTCTCTCCAAATCCTCTCCTCCTACTCTTTCTTGAATACTTTCCTGCCAGGCTTCTATCCTTCCTCATTTATTGCAACCACTCCTACCAAGGTCACTGCTGCAGACCTGGCCTCCTTGAACCACCAGGCAAAAGCATTTCACAGCTAAACACTCCCACCTTCACAGTGCACTCTTTACACCTGCCACCCTGGTTGTTCTTTCTATCTTGCTGGCTTTTCTCAATCTCTGCTGCTTCCCCTTTCTTGCCTTGAGCTCCCTATATTGGACCTCAAGGTTCAGAACCTGGACCTCCTTGTCTTCTCCATGCAAATCAAATACATTCCTATCTAAAGCTATGCTTTTATGTCCTTTCTGCCAAGGTATCTGTCCCCCAGATATTCTCATTTCTCTAAGATCTCCCTTCAGATATCTCTGCATCACTGTTGGACACTCTATAAAATAGTAAGCCCTCCCACCCCTGCCAGTCACCACCTCCCAGGCATTCCCTACCCTCCTTCCTTTGTGGTTATATTTCCTCACAGGAAGTACTACTCAACAACACTCATTTATTTGTTCCTTTTGTTTACTGTCTCTAGTCCCCAATTTGACTCTACATTTCTTACACTTTTCTATTTTGTTCACAAAGCACCTAAAACAATGTATAGCACACAGGAGCTATTGAACAAAGTCTTGGCAAAAGAATGAATGTATAAAATACCACATGTATACTCCCATAATTTCTTTTCTAGTTCTTCCAACAACCTCCTATGTGGTCTCCTATTCCCAATCTTGCCACTTCCACCTAATTTATCAACACAATACCCAAAGTGAACCATTGACAGCATGCATGCATAAGTCATGTTGCTGTCCTGCTCAAAAATCTCCTTTCATTCTAAAGGGTAAAGGCCAACAGATTCTATAACAGCCTTAAATGTTTCCTGAAATGGTCCCAGACCAAGCAGCTTCACTTCTGAACTTATTAGAAATGCAAGCTCTGGCCCCAATAATCTATATTTTACCAAGCCCTCTATGTGATTCTAATTCTGATGGACCTGGGCTGCAGTCTTGGCACACTGAAATCACCAAGCAGGCCAGGTGAAACACTGACCATGGGGCCTCAACCCCAAAATTTCTGATTGAAGGGAAACAATGACCATGGAAATGAGGCACTTAAGCAGGACTATAAGTGATATATTACAAATTTAGAAGGTCTAAATTATCCAGGGAGAGTACTTCAGGTGAAAAAAAATAGCGTGATGGAAACAGATCATAGCAAAGTATTGAATGTATTCTCTTGGCCTAGCAAACAGGGACAAAGGCAAGGAAAAGCTATTGGACTTCATTCTTTGAAAGAACAAGGAGAGAGTCTTAAGTGAAAGATAACAAATCAGTCCATTTGGTTCCGAGGGTCATCCAAAGGGGCACTGAGCTTTATGTATTTGCTAAAATTTTCTCTCAGTTATGTATGTTTAAGTATGGGTTCTGAAACAGGGACTCAGTGTTATTTTCTATCATTTTAAGATTTCATATCAAAGGAGAAGATATGAATACAAATTAAAAACCCAATGACCCCCTTTTAAGATGCATATTTTGTGGAAGAGAACATTTACTTACAATCTTATTACAGCAAATGAGTCATTTTACACTAAACAAAAATTTATCCAATAAGGCATAAAATATAAATCCTCCCAAATCAGGGTCAAAACCCAGAAATCAGAGGGGAACCAACCATATGAGAAAGTGCTACAGTTGTGATACAAATTTGCTGTGAGCTCCATGATAATAAAAAGGGAAAGATAACTATTCAAAAAGAAAATGGGGCAAGGTACCTGTGGCTCACGCCTGTAATCCTAGCTACTCAGGAGGTTGAGATCTGAGGATCGAAGTTCAAAGCCAGTCCAGGCATGAAAGTCTGTGAGACTCTTATCTCCAATAAACCACTAAAAACCGGAAGTGGCCCTGTGGCTCAAGAGGTAGAGTGCTAGCCTTAAGCTAAAGAGCTGAGGGACAGCACCCAGGCCCAGAGTTCAAGCCCCACAACTGACCAAAAAAAAAAAGATAGAGAAAGAGAGAGAAGGAAGGAAGGAAAGAAGGAAGGAAGGAAGGAAAGGAAGAGAGAAAGAGAAAGAAAGAGAAAGGAAGGAAGGAAGGAAGAAAGAAAGAAAGAAAGAAAGAAAGAAAGAAAGAAAGAAAGAAAGAAAGAAAGAAAGAAAGAAGGAAGGAAGAATGAAAGAAAATAGGAACTCACAAAAAAGCTTTGGCTGGCAATCTTCTTCACACACTGTTCCAAATCCCAGCACAAGATTTACCCATTGGCACCATGACAATGACTTGTTTACTTCTTCATCGGCCCTATTCCTATCCACTGCAATCTGAATGTTTCTTTCTCATCTAACCTTCTTTCAAGAGAGTCTATGCTCTGTCCTGAAATTCCTATGTGAAATCTGAACACTCAAGGCAGTGGAGGTAAAGCCTTCTGGGAGGTGACTAGATTCATCCTCATGAATGGAATCGGTCCACTATGAATAATGTTAGAGAGCCACCTTGCACTTCCTCTATGTGGGGACATAGTTAAGTATAATGCAAAAAAACAGGAAATAAGATCTTACTAGACCTTACCAAATTTGACAGCACCTGGAATTCCAGAACCTGGAATTTCAGCTTCCAAAATGAAAAGAAATACCTTTCTGGTTGTTTTTTGTTGTTGTTTTGTTTTTGTTGGTTGTGGGGCTTGAACTCTGGGCCTGGGTTCTGTCCCTCAGCTCTTCAGCTCAAGATTAGTGCTCTACCACTTGAGCCATAGTACCACTTCCGATTTTCTGGTGGTTTAGTGGAGATTGAAGTCTCATGGACTGGCTTGTAACCTTGATCCTCAGATCTAAGCCTCCTGAGTAGCTAGGATTACGGGCATGAGCCATCTGCACCCGGTCCGGCTTCTTTATGTTTTTTCAAATAGGGACATTTAACAACACCTGGAATCAGTTTTGGTTGTTGTGCTGGAAAATAGGAGTACCTGTCAACACCCAGCTGGAAGAGCCCACGGATAGTGCCAAATATTCTAGAATGTGTAGAACAGTCCTACACAGACTCATTTGGCCCCAAAGGGCAACAAGGCGCTGGTTAAGAGACAGTGGTTTAAATCAACCTCTTTTCTGATCCTTCCCCAGGACATACTGATTTTTTTGGATACCTATATCAAGAAGGTTTACAATGGAGTTATCTCCTGAGGTCTGCGAAGGGGGGGAGAGGGGATGATTTTGCTTAGCACACTAATTTGCCTCTCCTGACGAGCTGGGAAGATTTTCTGTGGCATAGTAAATTATTAATATTCAATTTTTCCTGTACCTGTATAGCACCAAGGTATTCATAGACCACACGTTTTAGAAAATATGCTGATCTATACAGTGGTCTTGAACAATGTTATCTCAGTGTCTGTCTCAATGGTCTCTTGTCTTTTTGACTTTGTCTCTTTCTCTCTCCCCTCTCTTACACACACACACACACACACACACACACACACACACACACACCAAGATACATGCATCTCTCCTAAGATTTCTCTTACCAATTAAGTTGCTTTTTCCCTCCTTCCACTGTCTGCAACACACATGCACACACATTTCTATTATAAAACTTATCTCAGAGGTTTGCTCACGCCTGTCACCAATTCTGGAACTCCTTGAACTAGAACGCTGGCATGTTCTAACCTAGAGGAAATTAACTCCTCACGCAAAGCAGGCGATCAATAAAGACCTGATGAAAGTTACGAAAAGAATCATAAGGAATGCCACCACTTTCAGGTCACCTACAAGGGTCCCATAAAGGGGTGTCTCACGCTACCTTTTCATTACCTCTAATTCCCAACATCAATTTATCAGGAGGAAAGAAAAGGAAACTGAGGCCCTGACAGTGTTTGACAACCTGTTCATGCCTCTGCTGTCAAAGCCAGTTCGAATCAAGATTTTTCCCCCCTCAAAACCTCGTGGTCGTCTTCCCCACCCACTTCGGGCTGAAGGAGGGGAGTGGGTCGCAGTCCCACCGCCGTGGCGTGGAAATGGCCGGAACCACAGTCGACAGACGTGCAGTCGACAGACGTGCAGTCCAGAGTCCCTGAGGAACCACCCCTCCGAAGGGGCTGACGGCTCCCGCCATCGCTTCCCCATCGCTGCCCCCGCTCCTGCCTTACCTGGTGTTGTCCGACTTAGCTCAGTCTGTTGAATCCCAACTTCACACTCCCGGAGGCCAACTCTTTCCCTCAGCCGCCGCACCACTCGTTGAAACGCGCCAAGCGCGGGCTCTTACGTCATCACCAGGCGCCGCGAGCGGTCACGTGACGCTCCAGCTGCCTCCACCACCATCTCCACCACCCTTCTCCCTCAAGTCATGTGATGGCCTGGTGAGGCCGGGGCGGAAGCAGGGCTCCTGCTAGCTCCAAGTCCAAAGCAACCGACCGAAAAGGACCCCTGCGGAGCGAGAAGGTTCGGTCTGGGGTGCGAACTTCCGGGCGCCACCACCGGCCCGGAGCGTGCGCGGCCCAGCTGACAGGTAAGTTGGGCGAGGTGCACACCCCGCTTTTCGCGTCCCCCTGTCCCTTCCCCGACTTCGTGGCTGGGCCGCGCCGACCGAGGGTCTGTCACAGCCCCGCGCACAGTCAGAGAGGGGGCTAAGGATGGAGGACTCAGGGACCCCCGGGTGTGGGGGCTGTCGTCCAGCTCATTGTCTCTCCTCGGTGGAAATCGTTGTGCACACTCCCTTGGCACTTAGGCGGCGATGTTCAGTGACTGGCTCGCATCGGATCCTTGCGAGTTCCCAGGAGCAATCGTGTGAGGATTACCCTTGTTATTCCATTTTCTGTGGAGAAAACCGAGGAGTTACTAGGAGCTTTTACACTGGCCTGGTTTTGAATGAGAGCCTTGACTTGGGTAAAGTCTTTGCTCCGCCCAGAACCGTATTTCCCCCACCTGTAACATAGTGTCATAGTTCTTGCATTTCGGAGAAAGTGTGGCCCAGGCTGTGGTTCCAGTGGCTTCTAAGGAGGGCGTGGGAGGCTGGGGGTGAAGGTGGGAACTACAGCCAGACAGCAATGGAACCTTAGTTCTTGATGCTAAAAGTACTGGAGTTCCCCTTAACATGGGTGAGGAGTAGTGAAGGAGTTTTACTAGAGACACTTTCCCTAATTGTCCTTTACCTGTCTGTCCTAGGATTCGTGAGCCAGACTAAAGGAATCAGTTTCATTTCAGAACTTTTTGGGAGGAGATATGTGATATTTTTCCCCGGTAGCCATTGTATTTTGAGCATGATAATGGATTTGTGGAAACTATTACTCCCTTCTTTATGAAACTGAGGTTTTGTGTAAGGATAAAAATAGACTGACCTTCTTTTGTCCTGAATGAGATCAACAGTAATTTGTCCCGGGCAATTAAATGTTGTTTTCCACTTGTCATGATGCCATGCTTCATTCTTGAAAGCATGTTGCCCTTTGAGTAGAATTACTTCCTAAACTAAAAGTTACAGTCCATGCCAGATTCTTAAAAGTAAAGTTACCACCACTTTGTAACATATAAAATAATAATAATTACAGTAATAATAAAGAGATTTTTGGCTCAATTTCATGTAATAATACATTAGAAAAATGTATTCAAAAAATTGGTCTTTATGACTTTTCTTTATCCCTTATGCTAGAAACCCTCTGAAAGAATGACCTAATATAGCTTTTTATATGATGTTTATTTGATCCTCATTCTATAGTAATATTTTTAAAGCTGAACTCTTAACACATTGTAAAAGTGTTAACACCTATTCACCTCTTGGGTGGGTAGAAAGGTTATCAAGCTTTTTTTTTTTTTTTTGGTTGGAGAGGAATGATCCTCCTCGAGGTTAAACACAGGGATTCACCCTCACATGTAAGCCACAACTCACTGTTTTTGAGATAGAGCCCACTAACTTATCCTAGGCTGGCCACCTATTCATGATTCTTCTGCCTCCACCTCCAGAGTAGCTGGTATTGTAAGAATGTATCACCATACTGAATGTGATTAGTCATCTATAAGGATAGTTTTTTTTGTTTTTTGTTTTTTTTGGGGGGGGTCCTATCGTGGGGCCTGAACTCTGGGCCTGGGCACCGTCCCTCAGCTCTTCAGCTCAAGGCTAGCACTTTACCACTTGAGCCACAGCACCACTTCTGGCTTTTTTTTTCTGCTTATGTGGTGCTGAGGAATTGAACCCACGGCCTCATGCATGCAAGGCAAGCGCTCTACCACTGAGCCACTTTCCCAGCCCTTTAATGACAGTTTTAATTCTGATGGGCAAGTTGCAGAAATTCTGTTTTCTGCATACAAAATATATTCAGTACAGATTAGGAGGTCTAGTATATAATAATGTAACTAATTTCTTTTTTCAGTTAATTTTTACTTTTGTTTTCAAAAACTTAATAGATGTTCACATTAGTTGCGATAGAAAGCTCAGATGTTCTTTATAAAGTAAAACATTACCGAATTCATGGCTAAATGTAATTCATATTTTGCTTTTGCATTAAAAAATCTGTAGCCGGGCACTGGTGGTTTACGCCTGTAATCCTAGCTACTCAGGAGGCTGAGATCCTAGGATCAAGGTTCAAAGCCAACCTGGGCAGGAAAGTCGGTGAAACTCTTTATCTCCAATAAACCACCAGAAAACCGGAAGTGGCACTGTAGCTCAAATGGTAGAGCACTAGCCTTGAGCTGAAGAGCTGAGGGACAATGTTCAGGCCCAGAGTTCAAGCCCCATGACAGACCAAAAAAAAAAAAACCTGTATAATGTGGATGGAATGTAGCTTGTTGGTAGAGTGTGTTTACTTAGTGTGCGCAAGGCCCTGGATTCAAACTCCAACACAAAAGAAGAAAAGGACAGGAGAGGAGAAAAAAAAAGAAAAGAAATTACATTAACATTTTTTATAAAACTTTTAATGCAACCAACCTATGTAATAAAGACCCCTAACATTTGTTTTGTTTTTGCCAAACATATCTGTTTTTTTTCACTCTTCTAATATTGTTTTAAAGTTACCTAGAGTATAATTTTCTTTTAGTAGAGACCTAGGGATTAAAAATAAGAGAAAGGTACACAAAGTCTTTATACATTGTCTCTCCAGGCCTTAGTTTTCCTTAATGTGTACTTGTGAATGCTGAGTCTTACCTATTCATTTCTTGGGAGAGATATGTTCAGCTTCTCCAGGATCCCACTGTCTGTCCTATCCTCATGTCCCATCTGGGAGTGGTTACACTCTTAATCAAAGCTTGGTCTTTTCTTAATGAGTCTAGAGCAAGGTTGAGAGAACTTTTTCACCCAAGGGCTATTTAAATATTTATAACATCATTCACTGACCATACAAAATTATCAACTTAAAAATAGCCTGCATATTTGGTCCAGCATTAACTCAGCCCAGTGTGATAGGTGGAATTGCTTCGCTTTAGTAAGGTGTATGATATGAGTAGATATTAATGATGTTCCTACTTGCTTGACTGATTGATATCAGTCAATCTGGAGTTCAGTCAACTTTTTGTGTTGGCAAGTTTTGAAAAGAACTGCTCTTGTAGCAATATGTTGTCCAAACATACATGCATATATCAGTGCATGTCTCCTACAAGTGGGAAATCCATCATGGTACGTAATGTTTGTAGAACTCAAGCAGTGGGAGGTGGTTGTAACTAGCTTTCATCTCATGATCACTTTGCAATTGATCTCATGTTGTAGGTTATTAGGCACATCGGCTGCTTCTACACTGAACAATATACCACAGATGCTCAATTTTGTTTACATTCACATTCTTGAATCTGTCATCAAATGCTTCAGTTAAGTTTCATGCCTTCACTAGTGATTCAAGTGTTCTGGAAGGCTTTAATATTTCCATAAGGGAAATGTATTATTCTTTTCAAGTTGCACTTTTCACAGCATTAAGTTTCAGATTATTTCACATTTGAAAACGGCAAACTGAGAGGCTAACTGGGATCCTGAAGCTTGAAGTTCAGCAATGAGAAGTACTTAGTCATGTCCACTATGAACTCTAGATCATACATCACACAGCCATTTGCTGTTGTTGCATTTGCTGACAGATTTTCCCTTCATGTCCTGTGCTATTTGATTTCATGCCACAGTTTGTAAAACCTCATTAGCCTGTTCACACAACTTAGCTGCCGTACTTCACAGTGATAAACAAGAGCAATGTACTTAGAGTCACAGGCTTTCCTGAAGCTGAAAACCGGTTCTGGCTTCTTGGAAGTTGAAAAATGATAACTAACATCAGATTAGGAAAGAGAAGGGGGGGAGGTGGGGAGGAAAGGGATGGTAGAGAAAAAACAAAGGAGAGGGTAACAATGCTCAACAGGAAACAGACTCATTACCTTGCTCATGTAAATATAACCCCTCTGTACAATATCTTTACAATAAAAGTATATATTTAAAATTTTTTAAATTAACATAAAAAAGAAAAGAGAAGAATAACAAAGATGATGACACAGTGAACAATTGAAATGAGAATGATCTGAAAAAAAAAACTAAGAAGCCATTGGAAAAAAATGAATGGCATTTTAAATATTGTAAAAATTGCTTTAATGGGGTGTGACCTGCAATCCTACCTACCTGAGAAACAAAGGAAGATTTTGAGCTGAGGGCAGATTAGGCAGAAGTTACCATTTTAAGATTATACTATGAAAGTTAACAATGAAATACAGGTATTGTACTATCAAATTCATAGTAAGAATCTGGTGACAGGACTCAAGTGGTATGCAGGTCTTGACTTAAGTCTTTAGAACTGAAAAAATTGTAGTTAGCTGCAATTTAGGATTGTTTGTTGAATTAGTGAATAGTTGCGATTTAACTCTAAATCCTTTTTTGAGGGGTTGGGAAGAAATGCTTAACATGTGCCTACTGAACTGCATCCCCAGCTCCTAAATTTTGTTTTATGGAAAAGTCACTTTCATAATTTTTTTTGTAGGTCCTGGGGTTTGAACTCTGGGCCTGAACATTGTCCCTCAGCTCTTCAGCTCAAGGCTAGTGCTCTACCACTTGAGCCACTGAGTCACTTACGGTTTTCTGAGTGGTTTATTGAAGATAAGAGTCTCACGGACTTTCCTGCCCCCACTGGCTTTGAACAGAGATCCTCAGATCTCAGCCTCCTGAGTAGCTAGGATTACAGGTGTGAGCCACCGCACCCAGCTTACTTTCATAAATGTTGTGTCATTTCAACATACATTCATCTAGTCCAAGGAAGTCCTTAGTTTTTGAGAATCTTTCTTGCTGTCATCTGTTGCCCATAGGCATCTCACTCTCCATACTCTCCATACTGGTCTGGGAAGACACTAGAAAGAGAGGAAAGGGACTGGGAGGAAAGGGAAGCAGTTTTGTTGATTCACCTCTGATTCCAAGAATGCTTAGAAAACATGGTGTGGGAAGCTCAGAGCTGCTCAGATTTTCATGTGTACACTAAACAATTTCACTTGTTAATGTGATTTTGTTCCATCATGGTACATAATGTTTGTAGAACTCAAGCAGTGGGAGGTGATTGTAACTAGCTTTCATCAAAATTGTTTTCTTTTCCTTTTTACTTGACTATACTGTCTCCCGCTTTGTCCATATTTCCCGCTCTATCAACCCTTTCCTTAATGTTCTTCTCTGTTTATATTGCCATGTGTAGATTCTTAATTGTACTTTTTTATAAAATGGGATCATCCCACTCATATTTCTGTGTTTTAATTTTCCCACCCCCCCAAAAAAAATAGTTCTCAGAAATCCTTCACTTAATACATCTCGAATTCATTCTTGCTAATGGTAATTAAGTTATGTTTGCCTTGTCTCATTTACTTTGTTTGTGAGGCTGCAAGGAAAAATAAATCTTGGTCCTAGCCTTAGTAGGTTGGTGCTTGTATTTTTAGGGGATAGAATCTTAAGCATGACACTGTTATAAGAGGGCATGTATTGTTTTTTGTATAGATATTCACTTCGCAAAAAGATGAACAGTTCATATTTCACCAATAGTGCACTTTCCCATGTTCTACCTGGAACACCTGGAACAAATATTGTTTTAATCATTGGCAACCTAATGTATCTAGTGACTTGGGGTACTTACTTTAATTCATAGTTCCTTCACTGCTAGTGACTTATGTATCTTTTCTTAAACTTTATCATGTGGATTACCCTTTGTAAATCACCCTCCCCTTTGTGATGTTCGTCCACTTTTTGGTTGAGTAGCTAGCTCTCTTGTCATCCACTTGTGAGATCCTTTGTAAGATCTTTCCACATTTCAGCCCCATATTCCAGATTGCCATAGAAAAGCCTTTAAATGTTAGATACTAAATGTCTTTATAGCTTTGGGTTTCCTTCTGGAATCCTGAGTTCTTAAAAGTGACAATTTTAATTCAGACTACCCAGTGTGAGAAGAATACTCATTTCCAAAAGAATACTGCTAGTAAAGGCCTTGTATTGACAAGTGAGTGTGTGATACACTATTTGTTTATCTTGGCCAAACTCTCAAACATTTCATAACTTTTTATACTTTTTTTTCTCCAGGGCTTATCTCCTCAGTAGTACTACAGGGAGCTATCAGGGCAAAGTTCACCTCTATGTTGTTATTTATATACTTGCCATACAATGATAAATAGTGTTGAATTCCTGCTCACTTGCTGCAGTTTTTTCACAATACTAGTCATCCTCCATTCTCTAATGATTTGGGCTTTACATCAGAATCATCTTGAGAGCTTCTTTAAAAATCACAAGCTTAGGGGCTGGGAAGGTAGCTAAGTGGTAGAGTGCTTGCCTTGCATGCATGAGGCCTTGGGTTCAATTCCTCATCACCACATAAACAAAAAAAGCCAGAAGTGGATCCAGTGGTAGAGTGCTAGTCTTGAACTGAAGAGTTGAGGGATGGCGCCCAGGCCCAGAGTTCAGGTCCCATGACTGACCAAAAAAATATCTATATATATCTATCTATATATATATAGATATGTATATATCACATGCTTAACCAGATACCAGTGGCTCACACCTATAATCCTAGTTACTCAGGAGGCTGAGATCTGGAGAATTAAGATCTGAAACCAGCCCAGGCCAAAAAAAAAAAAAAAAGTCCATCTTCACAATACAGCAAAAAGCAGGGCTAGAAACATAGTGCAAATGGTGGAGTCTAGCTAAGTAAGCAAGCCAAGCAAGCACAAAGGCCCTGCCTTCACCCTGCTAAAAACACCTCCTCCAAAAACAATTAAATGGTTTCGATCTGCTTATTACCTGATTAATGGAGCCTTTTAATGTTCTAGGAGATTCTATTACTCTGCCAGACTTGAGAATGACTATACTATAAAATAAGTTGCTTAAACATCTTTATCTCTAACCTAGCAAAGAGGCCCTCAGCATGTGATGATTAGGTAAAGAAGATAGATCTTTGCCTTCAAGAACTTTCAGAAGAATGGCTTGTTAACAATAATTACAATGTTTCATGTGTAATTGGAAGTATGCAATTAGCAATAATTGATTCTGCTAACAGCCAGACTTTAGTACTGAATCATATGGGACTTTTGGACTAACTTAACTGTCTATAAATAATTTTGGTACAATTATGTAGAACCTATATAATACTGAAAAAATCTTGGATATGTTTATACCTTAACTTTGTAAGTCCATTTGGTAGATAACTTAAAGTTGATGTACAAGGGTATGCCTCTGAGCTCTTGTTTCTTGTTTGCAGTTACTTGCTAAAAGTATTGAATCATAAAGGATAAGGGAGATGTTGGGAACATAGCTACCCTATGTCTTCTAACTCAGAGATGAGCAATATCATATTTTTTCTCAGAAGTAGAACTGAATAAAAGTCAGAAAGAGGTCTAGATATTTAGTTTAGCAAAGGCTCTCCACACTGAAAACATGGAGAATAAATGCCCAGCCCCATATCAGAACTTAAATTTTATATAGTGAGTTTGAGAGGAAAAAAAATCTTATATGTGTCTTAAAGTATATACACATGCTTCCTTTAAAAATAGACATTTACATACTCTTTGTTTTAAAACAGATTCTTTAATGGAGAATCCAGTCAGTGTGCACACCTGGTTTTATGCAATGATCTACAGACCCCAGCTCTGAAGCCAGTTCATCATTCCCACTATCCACGTGTGGACTAATTGGTCATCCTCACAATGTTGGACTTCCTAGCTGAGAACAACCTCTGTGGCCAAGCAATCTTGAGGATTGTCTCCTGTGGCAATGCCATCATAGCTGAGCTGCTGAGGCTGTCCGAGTTTATTCCTACTGTGTTCCGGTTGAAAGACCGAGCTGATCAACAGAAGTATGGAGATATCATATTTGATTTCAGCTATTTTAAGGTACTCTCCCCTGTGACATTTGTATTGCTGTCCTTTTCAACAAAACCTGTTTTCTCTAGGAGCCATGATACCCCAAAAGGTCAAGTCATTAAGGAGAAAGAGTTTAAGATAAGAACTTTTGAACCAAACACTATCAGCTCTCAACTGAGAAGATGGAGCCATTATGTGGAAAATCCTAACACAAAATAGTCAGATTTTAAAAAGAAAATGTTGGGCATATGTATTTCATCTTTTAAGTACCCCTCAGTTGCAAAGGGATTTTCTGCCTAGTCTTCTATTATCTTCATGATTTTCTGTTGCTCTGATTTAAATTTAAGAACATAGTACACTTTAAACAACTATGTAGTGAGAGAGGGAAGGAAGGGGTGACATTGCCCAAAAAGAAATGCACTCTTTACTGACTTAGGTATTTGTAACCCCTTTGTACATCACCTTTGTAATAACAAATAAAAAATTAAATTAATAAAAGACTGTAGAAGCCGGGCGCCAGTGGCTCACAC